CTCTTTGCCAACTTGGAATTCTGCCAGCAAAAAAAGTTATCACTAGCCTGGCACCGTGTTGCACACCTTTAATCTCAGTGGCTTGAGAGGCTGAAATAGGATTGCAAGTTCAAAGCCAGCCTCAGCAATAATGAGGTGCTAAGCAACTCAGTGAGACCCTATCTCTAAATAAAAACAAACAAACAAAAAAATAGGGATGGGATTGTGGCTCAGTGGTTGAGTGCCCCTGAGTTCAAACCCCAGTACCAAAAAGAAAAAAAAAATTTATCACCAAATGTGGCCCATCATCCTTCACCTAAAACTATGACCGATAATAAACCTTAAATCACCCTTTCTATGATATTATTGGCAACAAAATAGGCTAATACAATCCAGAATAAACAAACCCAATGAGATGAAAAGTAGATTTTAGATTGTTTAGGGAGTGGGGAGTGAGAACTTAATGGGTATGGGTTTCTTTTGGGGGGTGATGAGATGTTCTGAAATTAGATTGGGGTAATGGCTGCACAGCTTTGTACTAAAGACCACTAAATTGCATGCTTTAAATGGGTGAATTATATGGTACATGAATTATATTTAAAGGTATTATTTAAGAAATAAGTATTATTCATTGCATCCCTCTCCCTCATTCCCTCTACCAAGCAATGTAAATGGAGCTTGCCACCATCCCCATGTTTTATGCTATATTTTGTGATAGTCCTTCATTCTCTTCAAGGCTGCTTAAGGGCTGCGAGAGATCTAATTTGTGTTTTGACTTAAGCCCAGATCCTACCTATGGATAATACTAATGAGGGCATGGACTCAATACTAAAAAGCAAAAGTCATTGTTCTCAAGGAGCTTACAATGAAAAAAAATCAGATCCAGGTGACTGGTTTTGCCTTAGATATCTTTCAAGAACTCTTTTTTTTTCCTTTTTTTTTATTGGTTGTTCAAAACATTACAAAGCTCTTGACATATCATATTTCATACATTTGATTCAAGTGGGTTATGAACTCCCATTTTTACCCCGTATACAGATTGCAGAATCACATCGGTTACTAAAACTTTTTTTGTTTGTTTTTTTAAGAGAGAGAGAGGAGAGAGAGAATTTTTTAGTTTTCGGCGGACACAACATCTTTGTTGGTATGTGGTGCTGAGGATTGAACCCGGGCCACACGTATGCCAGGCGAGCGCGCTACCACTTGAGCCACATCCCCAGCCCTTTCAAGAACTCTTAACAGCCCAAACAGAATTCTATGGAAGGAAGGCATCCTTCTGCCCTAGGAATTGATACTCTGGACCTTGTTCATTACTTCCCACCTACCAGCCACTTGTACATTTGTGACTGGACAATCAGCCACTTGTTGCTCATCTCTCTTCCTCTCCTCTTGTAGAGGCCAGCTAGCTGCCTTTTACAGAAGCAGCTCCTGGAACGTCTAGGAACCATTTTTCTTCAGGCCATGGTGGCATAGAAACCTCATCCCTATCCCAAAGCTTTATGTGATTTCAGGGGCTTCTGAATGCTGCTAAAAATGCAAAGAGCTTTTAGATCAGATAGCTTTTAGGCCCATTATTTGTTCCTTCTGGATCCTAGGCCTCCCTTTCTTGCAGAATTTTGGTGCTTCCTGGAGGGGAAATTGACCCTTGAGCATTACCTAGAATTTAGGGGGCCACTTAGAGGTACCACCTCAGCAGATTAGCCCTTGGGAGATCTGTGCTTTCAGTGGGGAAGGGGCTACTGGGCAGGCTCACCACTACCAACATTTCCAGCATCTCATCCTAAGAAGAGTAAAGTTGGAATCTAGAGATTGCTTTAAAGGGTAAAGAGTATTAGACAGAAATAGGGAACATCTTCTTTTAAGTTTCTCCCAGCAGGGCAAAGGAAAAGGGAAATCAGAGACCAGGGATTTAGTGTCCTAAAGCGCCACAAAGTCTTAAGGATGAAAATGGAGAAGCTGATGGATGAGGGGAATCAGATGGCAGGAAATTTACAGGTCTGTAGCAGCCATGGGGGAATCCAATAAAAGCATTATAGCAGGACTTCTGCCATCAAGAAACCTATAATAATTTAGTTGGGGCATAAAAGTTTATACACTTGAAACAAATTTGTAATTTGTTGCTAAACTGGTATTTGACAAAAATGTCTGAGAAGGGACTGGTCATGTAGGCTGGCTTCCTCTGAGCTGAATGAGTGAATAAGGCAGTGTTCATTCAGCCAAAGTACTTTAAGCTACAGTGCCTACAGCTTTTAGAGATGAGTGTGTCTGAGTCTTGCCTGGTTTCATGGAGGAAGTATGGGGGAGGAAGTTTCGTCATCATTTGTCAATCACCATTGTCATCAACAAGATCCACACTAAACATTCATTGCACATCCCTTCCTCACTAAGTTTACACTTATATTGGGGAGGCAGAGCAAACAAGGAGTTGAGGGACTAGTTAGTACAAGAGACATGTGCCAATAGCACAAAGCTAGGAAAGGGTTGGAGAGGAGAGAAAGCTTGGAGAAGGTCATTCTGGAGCTGACCCTTGAAGGAAGGTTTGCATTAATAGAGGAAAAGGTGAATGGGGCTATAAATAGCATCAACAAGGCACATAAGGTGGTAGTGAGCAGGTTGAATATAAATGAGAAAACCTGCTGGACTGGAGCAAAAGGTGTGTGGTAGGGTAGCGTGGGCAATTAAAGTTTGAGAGAGAAGCAGGGTGATTACAGAGAGCCTTGGATGGCAGAAGAAAGGAGTTATTTTGGAACAAAGTAGAAAGGCATTGTAGATTTGCATATTTGGGGACTGGTAAAGGCCTGGGGAAGAAAAACTAGAACAGTAGGGTTCTATATTCTTCCTAGCCTCATTCTCCCGTGTTAAGATGATTAATCTATTCCATCCTAGCAAAGTGGAATGAGCTAGTCACCCTGCCTGAGATCCATCTTGCAAGCAGGTTGCTCAGGATCCCCAAGATGATCTGTATTGTATGCCCCTGGTAGAGAACCTCTTTCCAGTTAGAATGTTTCAGGTAATCAGTACTTGGACTGAAGTTCTCTATACTGTTGACCTCTAGTGTGAAATGGGAAGGAGGAAGTATCACCCTCTTAGCCCAGCTGCTACCACAGGTGCAGACCAAGATGGAGAATCTGCTTCAGAAAGCAACAACCCTTAGATGCTGAGTCTGTCCCTGAATCAGCCCTGAGGAAAGGAGGCAGCAATCCAGGAAACCTTTAAAAAAAAATGACAAGACTAAGTCTATCTTGAGGCCATCCTTTTGGTGGCTAACTTGACCACTCCTCACTGATTCTTTTAACTGCACCAACAGGAGATTGGCACAGGCTCTAGTACATTTATATTACCACCCAGAGGCAGATGTTTTCTCCTTTTCTCTGGGGTTTAGAATTATGCAAATTAGGCATGAAAACAAAAGCTTGGCGGGGTGGGGGAGGATTGCACTTAAGAATCCAGCAAATTTTCAGAGCTAAGACATGTCAGTTTTACTAACAGCACCCTTGGCTACTTGCCAGTCTATTTAGAATTTGGCCCCTCTTTGGAACGTTTTAGCCAAAAACCTGAAAGTCCATAAAGCTCCAGTCCTGGCTTCATTTTGCAAGTGGAGAAATCAAGGCGTATAATATGAGCTTTCAGTGTCTGTGGGCTAGTTTTGTGTCTTGATTTCTACCCTGTTTAGTCTTCCTTTAGCTAAAATCAACTGAAAAGGAAATTCTTCCCCAATTGCCTCCCAGGTACCCTCTCCTGTGATATTATCTGGAGGGCAATAGGACCTAGGGAGGTTCAACCCTGCGCCCAAGGGAGACACACCTGCCTAACCGCGCGTGGGTTGAGCTAGTGTGGGAGCAGCCACTTAGCTAGTTAGGGAGGGTGGGGGTAGAAGTGGGTGCCTTCTGCTCCTGGGGAGAGGAAAGCTTTGGCTCCCTCCTGGATCTGGGGGTCGTGCTGAGCAGTGCTTCTGAAGAGTGGTCCAAGCCCTCCTTGTCGCGCCTGTACACGGAGCATCCTTTGGCTGATTGACTTGGAACTCTCGGGTTTTTTTTTTTTTTTTTTGGCCCCAGCTGTCCCTCCTATCTCGCCCGCCCCCGCCATCCAGGTGCTTTAGCGCCTGAAGCCACCGGACCTCTTGTGGCTTGAACCGCAGGCCAGACTAGACCCGGGCAGCCTAGAGTTTGGCGACATCTGCCCGGCCGGTTTGGCGGCTTGCACCTTGTGCCTTTCACTAGCAAAGTTTCTGGGTGGAGAAGCCCCTCCAGCCTTTGCTTGATTCCAGTAGCAAGCGTGCAGTGCTTCTCTCCCTAGTGACTGAGCTTGGGGACTGAGTAGTGACATTACTCCTGCCCCCAGCCCGGCTGTCTTGGAGGCGGGGCCTGGGGAATCCATAGAGCCACCTGGAGAACCTGTGATTTGGCGCGGATCCTGAGAGAGCACCGGTGAACACATGAGAGGGCGAACTAAGAGCCATAACCTAGAAGTAGCTAAGGTACCGTGGCGCTGAACCCAATCCTCCAGGGAACGCTCAGACTGCGCCCTTTCTTCTGCTCTGGCTCAATTTGCTACTGAATTGAGAGGGCACACTACTCAGAATATCTCCCGGGGAGCTGCTAGCAGTGTCTTGACAGAGTGGCTCCCCTCCTGCCTGGAGCCGGGGTGCGAAAGGAGCTGCCACGGAAAGGAAAACGCTGTTCCCATGTCTTTTCATACGCTTGGAATTGGACTCCAGACTCGGCGCTGGGATGCTTGCTTTTGCCTTGTCCAAATTTCTCAGCACGTATATTGACGATTGGATTCTTGGGCCAATCAAGAATCAAGTTCAGAGTGGTCCTCTTGGACTCTTCATCCCAGACTCCACATCTAATTGGGTCTAGAAGACAGGAGTCTCTGGTTCTAATTAGTTGATCTCCATTCTGGAATTCAACTTGACAGAGCCCACTTGACTGTTACTTGGACTGCAGTAGCTACAGGTTCTGTTGGGATGGGTGGAGTGGTGCTGTGAACACCAGACCACAACACTCAGAACCTCCACAATGGACAGAGTTTATGAAATTCCTGAGGAGCCAAATGTAGATCCAGTTTCATCTCTGGAGGAAGATGTCATCCGTGGGGCCAACCCTCGATTTACCTTTCCATTTGGTATCCTGTTCTCCACCTTTTTGTACTGTGGGGAGGCTGCATCTGCCTTATACATGGTTAGAATTTATCGAAAGAATAATGAAACCTTCTGGATGACATACACCTTTTCCTTCTTTATGTTTTCATCCATTATGGTCCAGTTGACCCTCATTTTTGTCCACAGAGATCTGGCCAAAGACAAACCACTGTCATTATTTATGCATCTACTCCTCTTGGGACCTGTTATCAGGTGAGCACTTTTTAAATCTCTACATACCCCCTCAAAACTTGTGCAGAGAAAGAGAAAACTAATATTCACAAGACTGATACTGTGCCTCTAATCTTTTTACAAAATATTTATTTTTTAGAAGTACTTGGACACAATACCTTTATTTATTTTTATGTGGTACTGAGGATCGAACCCAGGGCCTTGCATGTGCTAGAGGATGGTTCTACCACTGAGCCACAACTCCAGCCCCTGGGCCTCTAATCTTAATGACTCTCCCATTCCTTTCCATTCTTGGCTTCCCTGCCTGTCATCCAGAAAACTTATCTGGAACCTTAAGTGCCAAACTGATGAACATGTGGCATGTATCTGTGTTCCAAAACTGTAAATGATACCATCTAAGAGATTTCATTAAATTATGCATGATATTTGGATTTGGACTGTGGAAACTGATTTGAGATTAACAGATGTGGTCACCCTGTGCACACAGGCCAATAGCTGCAGAGTGTAATTTTTCCCTTGGTGCTGGATTGAACCCAGGGCCTTGGGTATGCTAGACAAGTGCTCTACTACTGAGTTACATACACCCCCACCCAACCCAGAGTGTGTAATTTTAACTTTGTCTTTCAGACATTTTGTAAATGAGATGAAAGTTTTTCCTTGAATCCCTCATATCCCACATTTATTTTCTTTACCTTGAGCTACTTAGGCTGCTGTTGCTGCCATTTTCAAATTCTATAGTTATTTGACATCTGGAAAATACCAAAATAGCTACCAGTGGTAATCCGGTACCCCAACCCAATGTAGTTCATTTTTCTCTGTCAGGTCATCAAATCTCCTGTTTATTTATTTATTTATATTCTGCAATAAAAGTACACAGTTGGAAGGGGGCAAAGGAATCCATTGCTGTCTGGATGCAGTAGCACAATGTAATAAAATCATGTGTTCCCATCCAGGTTGCTTTGAAGGGAAGATAATGTACTTAATTGTAGGGAGACAGGAATCTGTGTCAACAGTCTCATTTGGATACTATAGGGTTTTCAAAGTAGACGTTGCAAAACTTATGAGGTCAGGAGGGAGGAATGGACCAAGTTTGTCATGATTGCAAGAGAGACAAACACCTGCAGTCAGCTGAGAAATATGGGTCAGAGTGTTAATGTTGTAATTGGCTGGGAAGGTATCTCATCATTAAGAACTAAAAATAGGCTATGAAACTGGTTAAGGATGGAACTTCCCCCTTTATAAAAAATTTTATCTGTAAATACACATAATTTTACTGACAATTATACCTTCAAAAAGCTTGAAAAAAATTTTATCAGTATGGTTTTAATGGAGAGGAATTGATTAGGCTCCATCACAGAAAATATGAGATATCTTAGAGTGGCCTGGAATTCAGGAGACCTGGAATCTAGTCCTCCTTCTGCCATTGACTAGTTGTGTGGCCTTGGTGAAATCTCAGAAGATGCCTTGGGCTTTAGTTCCCTCTTTTGTAAAATAAATTGTCTAAGCTAGATCACGAATCCTAAATGCTTGCAGGAACCAGGCAGGTAATTTAATGATTGATGTAGGGCAAGTATGAGAAAACCAGTAGTCTCACGTGTGATGATAAATGAAAACAAAGTCTCATTGTTAGAGAAATGTTGGGAAGTATCATGGTAATCTGGAGTCTGTGACCTGCCTATAGAGGAAGCAGCCACTCTACAACTCCAGTCCATTATCCATGTGAGGATTCAGAGCCAGTATTGCCAGATCTCCTAATTTTTCAGGAGAATTTCCCAATGCAGGATTTTATATGAAATGTCATGACTTTAAATATTGGCAACTGACTTAAAACAAACAACATTGTACAGTCCAAACTACATGTATTGGTCAGAAATGACTCAGCTGACTATATATAATCTTTGGACTGGGTGGTCTAAAGGTACTTTCCAGTTCTAAATTTTTGAAGTTATAAAGGAAGACCTCATCTTGAACTTGGAACCAAGAAATTTTAAGATGTCACTAGAGGAGCAAGGGAACCATTCTTCTGTCCCCTTTCAAATACAATATATTAAGATCTAGAATTCTCAAGAAGCAAATTTCAGTGAGTAGCCAGACCCCAGGTTTCTTTTTTTTTTCGTTTTTTTTTTTTCAGATCCCAGTTTTGACTTTTGCTTGTGACTTCCTAAGCTTCTTTGATTTGGACCCTCTGTATTCACTGTTTTTCATTTTTGTTGTTTAGCTTCCACTAAGAATAATTTAAAAAATATTTTTAGCCTCAATCACTTAAACCCACAGCAGGGAAAAGTAATTGAAAACTCATAAATTATACTCTTTTTTTTGAGAGAGAGAGAGAGAGAGAGAGAGAGAGAGAGAGAGAGAATTTTTTAATATTTATTTTTTAGTTTTCGGCAGACATAACATCTTTATTTGTATGTGGTGCTGAGGATGGAACCCGGGCCGCATGCATGCCAGGCAAGCGCGCTACCGCTTGAGCCACATCTCCAGGCCATAAATTATATTCTTTATATGCTTATATTCAAGGCCAATTACTTTTTACTAATCAAGTAGGAACCTGATTAGTGCTATTGAGCAAATGAAGGTGTTTGTAGGGACTGACTCTGTTACATGAAATCCAAACATTCTTCTGGAAATGAAAATGTACTCTGGTTTACTGAAGCTTATAAGCAAGGCAAACACCCTATTTCAAACCAGCCTTGAGAAGAGAAGAATAGCCTGGTGCAATATCAAATGCCTGTAATCCCAGTGACCTGGGAGGCTGAGGCAGGAGGATTGGGAGTTCAAAGCCAGCCTCAGCAACTTAGTGAGGCCTTAAGCAACTCAGAAAGACTCTGTCTCTAAATAAAATATGAAAAAGGGCTGGGATGTGGCTCAGTGGTTAAGTGCCCCTGGGTTCAATCCCTGATACCAAAAAAAAAAAAAAAAGCATAAATAAAGAGTAATAGTTTATTCCACAATAGTGTGGATGGACTTGGGTTAAAATCTAAAATCTTTTGTGGAAAAGGCACTTATGCATTTTCCCTAATTAGGAAGAGATATTGCTTTTTCTTTTTTATTCTTTCCCAGGTCTTTGAGTTTGTCTCTAGAATGTGGGAAGTTTCTGGCTACACACTTTGAATTGGTACACCTGAATCAATCTCTGGGCGATCCTGTGGAGAATAGCAGTCAGTGCATGTTTCAAACCTTCCTACTGGGGGATAAAGACTAGAGAGCATATAAATCTCTAAGCTTGTCTTTCATCTATTTTTCTGTTAAATCTCATTGGTGCTATTATCCTCTCCTTCTGTCATTTTCACCCTGTATTCTTTGTTTTCCTTTTCATCCTTTCATTTACTCAGCAAATATTTATCAAATTCCCACTATGTGATAAGGCCTTTGAGCAAGATAAATACAACCCCTGCCCTCAGTCTATTGGGGAAGATGTCTTAATTTCCACCACAAATGTTCTTACTTGTCATTAAAAAAATAGCCCATATCTTCCATTGAGTTCAGAATTAATGGGGGAAGTGGTAACTCAGGTGTTCCAAAACAAGATGTTCTAGTTGTTTCTCATCTATTCACCACTTCAGAACTACTAGAGACTTCTGATATAATGGGGGAGATGAGAGAGACAGCAGGAAATGTCTTATCACTATTTCAAGAGTGATAGATTTTCATAAGGATATTTTCTTCTTCATAAAGAAGTAATCAGGTTTAAAAGGCTATTGTTTTCCAACAGGTCTCATGACACAACAAAGGCACTTTCTTGAAAAAACAGAATTTGAGACCCCAATTATAGAGCTGAATGCCTTGAAAAAAGAATGCTTGGGGCTGGGGCTCAGTGGTAGAGTGCTTGCCTAGCATTTGAAAGGCACTTGCTTCAATCCTCAGCACCACATAAAAATAAATTGTGTCCATCTACAACTAAAAATATATTTTTTCTACCCCTACAGCTAAAAATAAAAAACAAAACAAAAAACCCAAACCAGGGCTTTTTGGAACCTTCACCTTTTTCTCTGAATAAAACATTTCCTCAAATCTATTTTTTTTTTTTGGTACTATGGATTAAGCCTAGGGGCGAGTCACCTCCCCAGCCACGTGTGTGTGTGTGTGTGTGTGTGTGTGTGTATCTAGAGACAGAGTCTCACAAAGTTGCTTAAGTCTTTGCTAAATTGCTGAGTCTGTCTTTGAACTCACGATCCTCCTGCCTCAGCCTCCAATGCAGGCCTGTTCCTAAGCAGACAAAACAATTTCCTGTCTTCCAAGAAGTACTTCTGAAATGGTGTTGTTAGGTTAGTAGATTAGACCAAACAGAAATGGACTTAGGCTCACATAATTTGTAGAAGGTCTAACCAATCCTTTTTTTTTAATATTTATTTTTTAGTTGTAGTTGGACACAATACCTTTATTTTATTTATTTATTTTTATGTGGTGCTGAGGATCGAACCCAGGGCCTCGCACGTGCTAGGCAAGCTCTCTACCACTGAGCCGCAAGTCCAGCCCCATGACCAATCCTTTGACTCACCAGAAATGAGCAGAAGAGAGTAAAAAGCAAAAAGTAGCATAACCTCCCCAAATTTCCCTCCTTGTTACAACCTCCCTTCCCAGGACAGCTTTAGTTAAGTTCCCATGATGCTTTACACCTGCAGGTGTTTGGAGGCCATGATTAAGTACCTCACACTGTGGAAGAAAGAGGGGCAGGAGGAGCCCTATGTCAGCCTCACCAGAAAGAAGATGCTAATAGATGGCGAGGAGGTGCTGATAGAATGGGAGGTGGGCCACTCCATCCGGACCCTGGCTATGCATCGCAATGCCTACAAACGTATGTCACAGATCCAAGCCTTCCTGGGCTCAGTGCCCCAGCTGACCTATCAGCTCTATGTGACCCTGATCTCTGCAGAGGTCCCCCTGGGTAGAGGTGAGTGGGGTCAGGAGAGGGGAGGGATCCACTTAAATCAAGGGTCTTAGAAGTTTAGCCTTGAGCTGTCCAATATACTGACCACTAGCTTCATGTGACAATTTCAATGAGAATTAAATAAGATTAGAAATATACTGGTTCAGTAATACTGGCCACATTTCAAGTTTTCAATAGCCATGTAGGTTAGTGACTATTGTTTTGAATGGCACAGATTTAGAATATTTCCATTATCACAGAAAATTCTGAACAGCACTAGTAGTTAAAAAAATTAGGGAGTCAGGCATCTTAGGCCTGCCTGATTTTTAAGTTGGAGCAAACTGATTAGACGAAAAATGTTAACAGATACACCCTACCTGGCCTCAAAAGAAGCTAGTAACACCAACAGTTAGTAGGATATTTTCCCTTGTTCAGAGTGTTTAAATTATGATGTTAGTTGTTTTGTTTGTTTAGGGATGGCCACCTTTAGGAAGAGGTTCCCAAATATTACTGATCATCAGAATCATGTGGTAAGATTCTTTTTAAAATCACATTTCCTCCCCAGATCTGAATTAATCCCAGAATGTGGGGAGGTCAGGAATCTGCATTTTTATGAAGTACCTTAATTGATTCTGAGCAGCCTGATTTGGGAACCACTAATTTAATCATTTTCTCCCAATGTCAGTGAAGAGAAAGCAAAAGGGTATGGGATGAATACTGAGGAGAATCAGACCTAGTTCAAGTCCTGACCCTTGCTGTAATCTTTGGAGGAAGTTATAAAGCAGTCACTGTCTTAATTTTTCACTTGTAAAAAAATGGATCCTGAGATGAGTAAGACCTCCAGCAGAGGATGAAATGTGAGTCAGTGTTTTCAAAGTCAAGATAAAGTGCTGTTAATGAATTTTAACAGCCTGTGATTTGCTTCATCTGCTTGGACAGAAGCTGGTATGGGTGTGGGTGCAGCTTTGGATCATTTTTTTTTTTATTATTTTGTGTTGATCCCGCTTGGCAAAGTCCCCGGTCTCAAATGCAGGGAGAACTAATTCCACTGAGAACAGTTCATAAAGTTCTGAAGCTTTTCATGTACATAGAATTGACAGTAGTTTCAGGGAAATGATGATGGTTTTCCTCTTGAGAATTTTGAGGGTCATGAAATCTTCCAATTAAGATACATACATATACTACAAAAGTAATACATGTGCAAAGTGATTGACCTATAGACAATTGTATATACAGAGGAATTTTCCAGAAAGCTATGAAAGATATTACTTCTGAAGAGTGGGAATGACAAATTAGCAGACTTTTATTTTTACTTCAGTATGGCTTGAAATTTTTGCCAAGATCATGTACTATTATTTTTAGTAATTTTTTAAATTATAAAAATAGGACTAGCTATAGTAAAAATTCAAAATAAACAATAGATATAAAAAAGGAAATGTAAATTCACTCCCCCAAAATAATCTGCTAGCCATTCAATATGTATCATTCCAGATTTTTTACTATGTAAATATAAACATACAACATATATGTACATGTTTTGCCAAAAATGGACTGTATTAAACATGTTTTTCAGTGATATCATCCTCAAAACTATGCTATTTTTCAGTAGTTATTTATATATACATGTATAAGTATATAAAATATATTTCTCTTGTATGAATTGGAACATTCTTTTTCATTTCCCTAATTTTCTAAAGTTTCTAATTTTTCACAATTTTTTCCAATTACAAATTATGCTACAGTTAACATCTTTATAAACATCTATGTATGTGAATTAAACTTTGTACAATAAATATATGGTATTAGAATTTCTGGATGAAAGAAAATGTGTGTTTAGAATTTTATTGATGCTGCCAAATAACTCTCTGAAAAGGGGTTTATGAATTTATACTCCCATTCACAGTATATAAAAGTATCTGTTTCCTCATATCTCAAACTAAATATTTATTTTTATAATTATAAGTAACTGGCTTTTAAAATAATTGGCTTTCTTTGTGGCTATAGCTAAGTATCTTTTATGTTTGGTCATTGTATGTGTTCTTTGAATTGCTAATTACATATTTTGCTCACTTTTTCTAGTGGATTGTTTATCTTTCAAATTAATTTGTAGGAGCTATTTACTTATTCTAGCATTAATTCTTTTTTTTTGCTATGCACACAAACATGTGCATACATGTTTGTATATTTTTGTGTTTAAAATACACACATTTTCTATGTGCATATACGTATCACACATGTGCAATACCCTACACTTAATGTGCACAACATACTTTGCTATGTCTTCTGGTATTGTGAATTATTACATTTTTATGTATTCAAATTCTTTATTGCTTATAGATTTTGTGTCTTTCTTACAAGAAAGGACTTTCAAAGTCTTAGCTGATAGAGTAATTTACTCATCTTCCACATATATTAGTGTCTAATATAAATTTGTCAATTTCCCCACCAAAGAATAAAGCAAAGCAAAATAATAACCAAAAAATCACATTTCATGGAGATTCTGATTGAAATTGCAGTAAATTATTCAAGTTATGGGATGTTCAAAGGATCAATCAAATTCATATAGGAAGATGATAAATCTCCATTTCATTAAATATTTTAACATGTACTTCAGTAAAATTATGTAGTTTTCTCACCATAAGTCTTGAACTTTAAAACATTTTTATTATTTTTATTGTTTTCATTATCAATGGACCTTTGTTTTATTTATTCATATGCAGTGCTGAGAATCGAACCCAGTGCCTCACACATGCTAGGCAAACACTATGCCACTGAGGCACAACTCCAGCCCAGGTCTTGAACATTTTAGAGCTTATTTCTAGGTGTTCTTTCAGTTTTAAAATATTAGTTTTTTTAACTTTTATTTATTTTTATGTAGTGTTGAGGATCGAACTCAGTGCTTCATACATGCTAGGCAAGAGCTCTACCACTGAGTTCCAACCCCACCCCTTAAATGCTAGGTTTAAGTGCAAGGACAGAGCACTGGTAAAGTAAATGTACATACTGTAAATTTTAAATGGTGGGGGGGGTGGGGGGTGGAGAGAGTAGAAAGACAGAAATTAGCAGATAGCTTTTATTAGGTTTCAGGCATTTCTCCAAGCAATTTACATGTAATTATTTCATTTCATCTTCAAAACAGTTCTTCAAGGTTATTATTAACCCCTTCTTATGAATGAGGAAACAGACTCTGAGAGGTTAAGAAAATTTCCCAAGATATTATAAGTAGTAAATGGCAAAGATTGGATGGAAATTCAGGATGTGTGCCTCCAGAGCCTATGTTTCTAACTATAGCAGCATTTTGATCTCTTATGGCATGAATCTATTTGTAGGGAGACATATGGAAAATGTTTTTCCATTTATTGGAAGCATCAGGTTTTCTTCCTTCTATTGTACTACTTTCAATAAATGAGTTCTAATTTAAGATAAGGCATCAGACACTTGACACTTGGCTCAATGTATAGCTGATGTTCCCATGTCCACAAAGAGTATCATTTCCTGAGGATAGGAATGAGAGTGGTTTAGAAATACAAAAGTACTAGGTTGGGCTCAGTGGCATATGTCTGTAATCCCGGCAGTTTGGGCGGCTGGGGCAGGAGGATCGCAAGTGTGAAGCCAGCCTCAGCAATTCAGTGAGGCCCTAAGCAACTTAGTAAGACTCTGTCTCAATATAAAATATAAAAGGGGGGCAGTGTGGCTCAGTGGTTAATCTCCAGTACAAAAAAAGAAGAAATTTAAGAGTAGCCACTTCGAGAGTCTCCCACTCTATTCTTTAAGATTCCAACACTACTTATTAGCTGAAGAAAATTCTTAGAAATGAGAGCTGTATTTTCTTTTGTATTTTCATGGGGAAGGCTTCACTTTTCTTGAAGATTAACTTGATATACTATGGCTCAAGTTTCTCTGGATCCATTATTTTTATACGAAGAGAAAACTACAGATTTTCTTTTGGGGGAATACTCCTTAAACCTTCCACTTTTCTTGAGAGCACTAAACCCCACCCCTCACCCCTGCACCCCAGTAATCAGTATACTTTAACCAAAAAATAAAAATAAAAATAAGCAAAGGGCCACCTGTATGGTCTATAGTTAAGGAAGGTTAGGGAGCATTCTGCCTTTCTTGGCCCCTACTTTAACATCTAGTGTTATGGATGCCATGGACTGGGAAACAGAGTTTTAATGTTTTTGAACCACTCTACTGGAAGTTCAGAGATTCCTAATGTGTACTAACAAATAGGAGTGATGAATTGGCATTGCTGATGACAAATACAAGCAACTCTAGACTATCTCATGAATTGGCAAACTGAGGCACATAGATATTCAATGATTTCACAAGCTCATACACAGCTGAACCAAGGACTTCTAGGTATTTTATGCTGCTTCTCTAAACTCAAAATTCTTCATTAATTCCACACACATTTATTGTGCATCAACCATGTTCTAGTCAGTATGTTAGGCTCTGAGGATACAGCAGTGGGTAAAATAGATATGATATCCTCTGCCCTCATTAAATATTTAGTATACTTTTTGACACATGCAACTGGAGTTAAATATTCTAGAAGCCCGCACAAAGAAGATTTGCTCCTTGAAGAAAATATACATCAAAGAAGGGACTTCAATTAGAAAATACATTCTCTGAGTCTCCTAAGCTTGGATTTTTTTTTTTCAGAAAGTTTACTTATGTATTTATTTCCCTCATGCAGTTTTTGCTCAGAAGCCTGCTCTGTTAGGTAGTCCTACCTGGAACCTTTATATGTCCTTTTCTTATATTAGTGACTTAGTGTTTTAAGACCTACCCTTTTTTAAAAAAGCTTAGTTTGTACATTTATGATTATTAATGTATTACAGTATATGTTTATACTACACTCCCAGCCCTCACTTTGATTTTGATTTGATTTTCCCTGATGATTAGTGATATTGAACACCTGTTCATGTATCTCTTGGCCATTTGGTCTTCTTTGCAAACATGTCTATTCAGGTGCATGTTATTTGTTTGCATAGCTATTATCATACATGAATTTACTCTTAGGTGAGGCTCTGAAGTCCTACCTATCATCTCTGGACCTCTGGGTCTGAGTACAGGTTTTATACCAACATTGACTGCTTGCCTCTCTCCCCCTCCCCCATTCCTTGTTTTGTTTTGTTTTTACAGCTGTGCTAATGGTCTTTTCCCTGATGTCTGTAACCTATGGGGCTACCCTCTGCAATATGTTGGCTATCCAGATCAAGTATGATGACTACAAGATTCGCCTTGGGCCACTAGAAGTCCTTTGCATCACCATCTGGAGGACGTTGGAGATCACTTCCCGCCTCATGATTCTGGTGCTCTTCTCAGCTACCTTGAAGTTGAAGGCTGTGCCCTTCTTAGTGCTCAACTTCCTGATCATCCTTTTTGAGCCTTGGGTTAGGTTCTGGAGGAGTGGTGCCCAGATGCCCAATAATATTGAGAAAAATTTCAGCCGTGTTGGCACCCTGGTGGTGCTGATTTCAGTCACCATCCTCTATGCTGGCATTAACTTCTCTTGCTGGTCAGCTTTGCAGTTGAGGTTGGCAGACAGAGATCTTGTTGACAAAGGTCAAAACTGGGGACATATGGGCCTGCACTATAGTGCGAGGTTGGTAGAGAATGTGATCATGGTCTTGGTTTTTAAGTTTTGGGGAGTCAAAGTATTGCTGAATTACTGTCATTCCTTGATTGCCCTGCAGCTTATTATTGCTTATCTGATTTCCATTGGTTTCATGCTACTTTTCTTCCAGTACTTGCACCCATTGCGCTCACTCTTCACCCATAACGTAGTAGACTACCTCCACTGTGTCTGCTGCCATCGGCACCATCAGCGAAGGGCTGAGAACTCAGAGCCAAGCTTTGAGACTGAAACAAGACAAAGCATTGTCTGATTCTATCTTCTGAGTATCATGGGATGGTTTGGGAGTTGCCAAGATCAACTCTGAAATTGAAGGAGAGGGTGAGGCTCATGGATGAGTACTCAACAGAACATTTTCTTGAGTATTCTGGTAAGTCTATCAGAAGAGTGACCCCCAAATAGGTTTTACTTCTTGGAGATTTACTGCTATGTTTGGAAACCAGGAGTGGAACAGTCAGAAATATTGTTCACACCCCTTCTACCCAGGTCAGTTGAGATAACTGACCTCTAAGCACCTTAGGCTCTCTGTGACTTTGCAGGTCTGTTTGTTTGCTTGGGGCAAAAGAGTTTGCCCAAAAGGTGCTGAAGACTCAGAATCTCACTAGAATATATCCTGCTAAACAGAGTATGTGGCAGCTTACTAGATATGGGTATCTCTCAGGAAACCCTCTGACTATTGTGGAACCTACAGATATGAGTGTGACTAGATTCTTTTAACTCCAATGAGAAGCTCTGACCAAGAAGAAAAAAGCCCCACCGTTAAAAGAGCTGCTCCCCAGATGTATTATATCTCTATTAGGATTTTACTAATGGCCATTCACAGGTCATTTGCAGTGGCCTTTCATAGGTACACCTTGAGGAGGGAGTGCAGGGTAGGGTTCCTTCAGGGTGTAAGCCAGAATGACTCTTTTCTTAGGAACCTGCATGGGCATCCAGTTGTCAAGTGGAATGGTTACTTATTGCCTCATTAGCAGGGATTCCCTCTAACCCAGCTATTCTGTGCTCTTGTCATTTTACTATTTGATGTAGGCCTCAGGGAATCTGAAATGTAATTGAAACTGTTTCTGTATATGAAAGAAATGAAGACTTCTTTGTGTCTGCTACTGTCCTGGGTATTTCATTGATCTGTGGTTTGCTTTTTAGGACAGGAGAAAGAGAAAGTAATAATGGCTGTGTTATCACCCTCATGTTGCTTGGGGTTGGGATGGGTGGCTAATACTCCAAAGTAGAGTGAACATAGAGAGGGGAAACCAGATAACATTAAATTACCACAGGTACTTGTTTTTGTTTGCAGGACTTTACTTTCTAACAAGGAATATGGGTTTCTCAACCCCTCTGACCATTCTCAGAACCAGTGAATGAATTCATACCTCCTTTTTTATGTACCTCAATGTTTACCTTTCATGTTTAATCTCATGGTGGGAATGTAAGCTGGATGCCTCTAAAGTAACCAAGGAATTGAGGTTACTATGACCACTTCCTATTGTGACCAAGTATTCCAATAATTACCTAAGGAATGTTTTTCCTCCACAGACCAGGAAAGTGAGTAGTCCTCCTAGTACTGTGTATAGTTGTGGCCACTCCCAATGCTTCAATAATTTATAAACAATCTGACCTAAACTTTTCCATCCCTATCCACTTTTACTCTTGGGATTATGCTAAGAAATTTATCTTTGTAAAGGGAAGACCAGTAATGTAGAAGAAAGAGATCCAGAGGTAGAGTGGAGGGATGGGAAAGGGGAGGCAATGCAGAATGAATTCTTTAAAAATCATGTTATGTGCATATATGAATATACCACAGGGAATTTCACCTGTATATATAAGTAAAAAGAACCAGTCAAGTATAAATAGATGAGTGTAAGGAAGTCTAATAGAGTAGAGAAAGAAGAACAAGGGAGGGGAGGGAGGGAAGGAGGGAAAGGGAAGCATCATGAACTGAATTTGAATTCCGTGCATGGTTTGTTGGGATGAATCCAACTACTATGTGTAACTATAAAGCTCTAATTTTTAAAAAGTTAAAAATAATTTTTTGTGTGTCATTTCCCCTCCTATTTATTTATTTATTTATTTGGTACCAGGGATTGAACTCAGGGGCACTTGACTACTGAGCCACATCCTCAGCCCTATTTTGATTAGAGACAGGGTCTCACCGAGTTGCTTAGCACCTCGCCATTGCTGAGGCTGGCTTTAAACTTGGGATCCTCCTATCTCAGCCTCCTGAGCCTCTGGGATTACAGGCATGTGCCACCATGCCAGCTATGTTTTTCATATTTTTATTTGTGCATTATAGTTGTACATAATGGTGGGATTTGTTGTTATATATTCATGCATGCATATAACAATTTCCCCTCTTCTTATCCAGTGTCAGGGCATTCTATATATTGAGGGAGCTTCCTCTTCTAAGTAGCAAGGCTGTTAACCAGAATTATCCTATTTCCTGGCATGGCTAGTGTGGTTTTCCCAACTTCAGCAACTGTTTGGAGTTAAAAGAATTGGCTACTTAATTTGGAGGAGATGTAGGGACTTACTTTGGAGCAACAGAGATTTTCTTTTACAAACCCAGTTCCCTCATTCCATTTTTCATGATGAAGAGACTAAGCTGATTGTCCTATAAAGCTCACACTGACTTCTGTTATTTGAGGTGAACTTGAAAGAAAGAATCCATCAGATCTCTAGAAGAACACACTGCCTCTTTGGAATTCAAACAAGAATTTCTCCTCAATTGTTAACATGCCCTTGATTTAGAGCAGAACCAGCATGGAACAATAATTTGGTCCATAAAAGCCAAGTGAATCAGCTAATTAAGAGGAGGCTACTATGGAAACAGAGAGAAAGACGCACACACATATACACATATGCACACACGGAGTCAGGCAGATCAATTACAGATAAAGAGAAGATGCACAGGGAAGAAAAGTGTTCCTCAGTACTGGACAAAGCAAAATTTTCTCCCCCATGTCCTCCAGCTGCAGTGACTTAATGTGGTAGGAATGTAGAGAGTTTAGGGAGAGGGTGTGGAGTAGCTTCCAACCTGAAAAACCTGCTGTCCTCACCCAAGGAGGAGACTCTAGTGATACATTATGCAAATGGACCCTCAGAACCTCTTATAGGTGGTGGCTTTTCTGTTCCACAGAAGTCTTCCAGATACACGGAAGAAGGAATTGTGGAACGTAAGGTGGTGGGCAGGGGAAGTACCACCTTCCGTGGCAAACACGTCTTTAATTGACAAATCTTTTTGATCCTCTGAAATCTTACAGCAGCACAGGGGACATGTGTGGGGATAAGTCTTACTGAGTAAAAGAGGAGGCAGAGATGGGGTCAATAAATGGTTTCTGGAGAAGGAAGCAGAATTGTGGAAGTCTGAAGAAAGGAACTAGGCTATTGTAACAACACATATTCTCATTATTGGGAATTTGATAGGCTAAGTGTGAGTAAAATATCCTGTTAGGGAAATATAAATGAACTAATAGTTGTCAATTTCTTCTTTTTTTTTTGAGAGAGAGAGAGGGAGAGAGAGAGAGAGAGAGAGAGAGAGAAAGAATGAGAATTTTAAGGTTTATTTTTTAGTTTTCGGTGGACACATCTTTGTTTGTATGTGGTGCTGAGGATCGAACCCGGGCCGCAGGCAGGCCAGGCAAGCGCACTACCACTTGAGCCACATCCCCAGCCCAGTTGTCAATTTCTTTGCTCCACAAATACTTTAAAGATTTTGGGGAATGAACTGGGAGGTACTGTGGGAGAATTGAATAATAGCTTGAATTTCTGGGCACTTTTTGTCTGTCATAGGCCCTTTATACACATTACTTTGTTCAATTCTTACAACCAACCTGATGAAGCTATTGTTATCATCTTTATCATCTTCCACTTTACAGGTGAAGAATATAAGGCATGGAAAAGTCAAGTGACCTGGGCTGTGGTTGTGGCTCAGTGGTAGAACACTTACCTAGCATATGTGAGGCACTGGGTTCAATCCTCAGCACTGTATATAAATAAATAAAATAAAGATCCATCAACAACTAATAAATATATTTAAAGAAAAGAAAATTCATGTGATCTGCCCAAGGTCACAGCTAGTATCAGAGCCAGGATTCAGCCTTAGGCTCATAGTTTCCAGAACTTAGTCTTAACTATGACCCAAGCCTCTTGAGTCCTCTTTGGTTTTTGTGAAATTATTTTAATATGTTCCTGGTCTCAGGAGTATTTTCTGAGCTATGAATGGGTTTGTACCAAACATTTTTTTCCCACAAACACTTCTTATCAGAGAATACCCCTCAATTCACAGTAAAAAGAGAAGGCACAAGTTCTTAGAAGCCTGGGATGAAACTGAGCACATGCTTTCATGCATTTGTAGGTTAGTATTAAGGAGGTGTGAGAGAGTATGGCAAAGGAGCACATTTCCTTTCTAATTTCAGACTTTGTTTCATTTTGTTCTTAAACACATACCTTAAAACTTTGTCATGGGGAGAAAACTAGGGAGCAATTTATACTCAGGCTTGTATGAACTTTGACCCCGGAAACAATCCATCAGGGAAGTTCCTAACCCCTTTCTTTTACACTTACTCTTGCCAACACTGTTCTTACTCCCATTGAGAAGCTGACTCCTTGTTCTAGAGCCAGGGGAAATGGATGCTGAAGAATAATGACCCTCTTTCTGCTATCATAGTCCTAAGGACTTAGGTCAACTTTCAGTGCCCTCAACTAGTCCCCACACACCTCATAAGGGTGTAGTCCTTAGTGTTGCAGAGTTTACTGTCACTTCCCAGGGTGGAGGCAGGGTACATACATAGGGTAGGATGCCCACCAGAATGGTCCATCTAAAGCCATGAAGCTCTGTCTCTAAGAAATCCTTAAATACATAGGATTTGTATGAACTCTCCAAAATACTTGCCTATCCAAGAGGGAATACTAATTCTTTGAAGCTTTTGCAATTGTGCTATTTTTACTATCATTAGAGAACACATATGTCCATAATCTTATGTCTTTCCTCCTGAAGGACTGGCACAGTTAGTCACACACTTTAAACCTTAAAGCTTGTGGGGGACATGGTCAAAGTATGTTGTGGGCCTTAACAACAAAGCATATACAATGTGAAACAAAAGTAGTGAGTTCAACCTGTGTAATATATGAAAACTAAGTGTGAAAAGACCACAGTCCATGCATGAAAATAACATTGGAATAGCACTTTGTAATATACAAGGCACATTTATACACATTATCTGTTCCAAAGACATCATTGTTTAGGACAAAGCTTATGACTTGTTCACATGAATTTGTATTGCTCTAACCTCCAATTCACCAAACATCATTAAGCTTTGTGTGTCTGTGTGTGCACCAGGAAAAGCAATGTGGCTATTATAAAGTGCTATATAGATGTCAAAAGACTAAAAAATGAATCCCAAATACATGGCATAAGTAATGTTGGAGAAAAACAGGCACTCTCTATTGATATGAGTGTAGAATATTGCCACACATTTTTTTGAATAAGGATTTGTCAAAATGTATGTACATTTTGTCTTAGAATTTTAAACTCTTTGATTTTTTTCCTATGGAAATATGGTTGATTGTACAAAGAGATATGTACAGGGATGTTCATTGCACCACTATTTATAATGGTGAAAATTGGTAATAAATTTTCATCTATGGGGACATGATTAAACTCTGGCAATTCCATTATTGGAATGCTATCTATCCATTAAGAAGAGTGGGGTAAATCCTACCCCTTGGAAGGCTGAGGCAGGATGATTATGAGTTAGAAGAGTGGGGTAAATCCTACACCTTAGGAGGCTGAGGCAGGAGGATTATGAGTTCAAAGCCAGCCTTAACAATTTAGGACCTAAGCAACTTGGCAAGACTCTGTCTCTAAATAAAATTTTTAAAAAGGGCTGGGTGTGTGGCTCAGGGGTTAAGCACCACTTCTGGGTTCAATCCCCAGTGAAGAAGAAGAAGGAGAAGGAGAGGAAGAGGAGGAAGAGGAGGAAGAAGAGGAGGAGTCGATGTATACAGCATGTGCAGAGTGAAAGGATAAGTGACAATATCCAAGTTGAATAAAACACAAGATGAGGTTATAAAGAATCATTCAAATTTGGAAACAAGGGTGT